GCAATTCTGCATTCCCAACCAGTCTCCTCTGATTGGGGGGCAAATTGGCCGTCCTTGCTGTGTTACTGTGTTCTCCCAGTGGGCCCGTCTCCCCCACTGCCCATGCTCCAAACACTTCCCATGGGACAGGCCCTGCACCAGTCCCTTGCAGTGACTCACTGCCCTCTGAATGGCTCCCCTTTTTCAACTGTTCTGGCTCCTCTCTCCTGCATGGATACACAGGAACCCTATTAGTGGTCTTGCTGTCCTGGGGGCCACCAAGACCCTCTTCTCCCCTGCCACCTCCAAGCAACTCCATCTGAAGGGCACAGCTGCGGCTTCTGTTGGCTCCTGCTCCATGTGCTCAGCAGCTCCAGCCTTATAGCAGCTGTGGCCCAAAATGCTCCAAACAGTTTTTTCTTTCTCTCATTGTGGCTTCTCCTGTCTTCATGTACTCTGTAGGTCTCTCTTTCTCTTCCCCTGAGCTCCAGTGGCCCTAGCGTGGCTGTTGTTACATTTTTATAGTTATAAATTGGTTAATTTGTGGTAGAGAGTGATGCTGGGGACTGTCTATTCCACCATCTTGACTGGAACTCCCTCCTAAAGTTTCTATAAGTTTTAATTTTGTATTGTACCATTGCACTTATCATTTTATTATTGTTTAAATTTTTTACTACTACTCCAATTTTGGCTTTTCTAGACATTATTTTGCAAAGTTCTAAATTAAAACATTTTTGAAATTATAGGTACTTGTATATACTTGGATATAATAAGTAGACAAATTTAGAGATATTTATGGTTTGTACAGTTATCTAAAGGCTCGGTATTTTTCTCAGTTTTCTTACTTTTTTATTTAAAGAAAAAATTTTAATCAAAGAAATGTAAATTAAAACCAAATGAGATATCACCCACCCAAATGGCTAAAAACAAACAAAAAAAACTGATAATAGTATGACCTGGCAAGCTTGTATGAAAACTGGATATCTCATACCTTGTTGGTAAAATTTTCTATTGGCATACCCACTTTAGAAAAATATTAGGCATTACTAGTGCAGCTGAGTATATCTATACCCTTTGACCAAGCAATTCCAATATTTTCTTATTGATTTGGAGGAGTACCTAGCATATTTTGCATAAAAATCCTTCATCAGATTTATGTTTTGAAATATCTTCTCCTACTCTATGGCTTGCTTTTTATTCTCTTCTTGTGCCTTCTCTCTCTTTTTTTCATATATTAATTAAGATATTTATTGAGTGCCTACTATGTACCAGACCTTATTCAAGGTACTGGGATTCTAGCAAAGAGAAGTCCTTCCTTTTTTTTTTTGTCTTTTTTCGTGGCCGGCAACAGATCGCGACCCTCGGTTTCATGCCCGTCCCGGACCGGGACCGGCAACGGGATCGCAACCCTCGGCGTTGCCCCCGCACCTCGCTCAGCCAGTGAGCGGCCGGTCTGTATGTGGGATCCAAACCCTCGGCAGGAGTGCCACCGTGCTTCCCAAGCGGCGCACTATAGCAGTGCGCCACCAGGCCGGCCCAAGAAGTCCTTACTTTTAATGTAAAGCAATTTATAAATTTATTCCTACCTGGTTAGAGCTTTTTTTGTGCCCTATTTTGAGAACTCTTTATATGCTCCATGGTCATAAAGATAATCTCCTTTTAATATTATATTTTGTAAAACCTTTATTACTTTGATATTTAGATCTATGGTCTATCTGGAATTTCTTTTTGTTTTGGTATGAAGTATAGGTCAAAATTTCCATGCGGATTTTCAGTAAACCTAGCTGCATTTACTAAGTCTATTTAAGTTTTATCCACTTATTTGCCATTTCCAGCACTCTTCATTTTTTGGTGTGGGATTGAGTTTCCATTTGTTATTACTTAAAACAGAAGCTTTATTTTTACTTTTTGTTATAGAGGTAGCTATTTTGTTTTGTTATATGAAAATATGACTTTGATAATACTAATCTTTTAATGACTTATAGTGGGAGACTTAGAGTTCAGCAAATGTGTCATTCATTCATTCAATTAGTATTTATTGAAAGTGCCAGTTATGGGTGAGGCACTGGGATGAGTTGGATTTAAAAAAATAAAGACAAAATGTCTTCCCTAATGCAGCTTACAGTTTAGATGTGAAGATAGACATTAATCAAACAACCACTTGGATAAATGTCAACTAGACACTTTAACCAATGTGACAAAGAGGTGTGTGGTTTGAGTATCTATCTTTTAATTAATTAATTTTTTTGGCAGCTGGCCAGTACAGGGATCAGACCCTGGACCTTGTTATTATCAGCACCATGCTCTAACCAACTGAGCTAACCAGCCAGTCCCTTTGAGTATTTATAATGGAGGGATTTGACCTAGTCTGGGAGGTCATTGAAAGTTTTTCTGAGAGCAGTTGCTTGAGCTAAGAGCTAAGGGTAAGTAGAAATTAATCATGTAAAGAGCAGAGTGTGCCAGGTAGCAGGAAGAGCATGGGTCATGGCCTGGAGGCCGAATGGGGCATGGTGAACATGAGACATTAATAGAAGGCTAAACTGGCTGGATCCAAGAGAGCAAAGGGAACCACAAGAGGGTGAGGGATAGGTAGAGCTGTATTAACGGGCATGGCCAGGCACACTAAATAATTTGTGTCTTAAGTGCATTGAAAAACAAGCAAAGGCTTTGATGTAAGGAGAAGAACATAATGAAGCTCACATTTTGAAAAAGTCATTTTGGTTGTAGTTGTAGAGAATGGATTGGAGCTAGAATGGGGGTGACAGAGCAGTTAGGAAATTGTTGCAGTAATCTTGTTGATTGGTAATAATAGAAGGGGTGGTGGTGATAATGGAGCAATGAGGCTGGTTTCAAGAGATATATAGAAAGTATAGTTAGTAGCATTTGATATTTGATTGGATATGGAAGTAAGGAAAGAGAAGATATCAAAGATGACTGTTAGGTTTCTGGCCGGTTGTGCAGGTAGGTATGTGATAATATCAGTCACTGAATCTCATTACATGGTTTGGTATGTAATAAACCTATCTTCAGAGGAGTATATAGAGAAGAAGAATTAAAGCACTAAAAGAATTTGACCCAACATTAAGGAATAGAAAAGTTCAAGTGATGTCTAGCATGAGATATTGGACAAGGATCAACAAGCTCAAAGTGTGATGTGCTCTTTTGCCATGAAAATAATCTGGTTTAAGAGAGGTAGTTAATATCAGTTAAGACAGGCATCTGTAAATCTCCTGTTTACAGACTTTATTCCTGAAAACCCTCATGTTAGTTATACCCTAGAACATGTGCTCTCATTTATGCGCCTCATTTTAGACAAAGTGCAAAGGACAGATGAGCCAGGTTATTATATCTACACCTTGGTCTTGACAGTCTTGTTTCACTTTCTTGTGTATAACTGGTGGTGAATGTGTGGACCTTTAGGGCAGTTTTATCATATTTCAGAAAACAAATAATGCTTCGTTGAGACCTTAAGCATTGTCAGAAAATCCCATCTCTGTGACTTTGTTCTACGAAATACTGGTTGAGAAGAATTTAATTTCTTGTTTATTAGTCTTCTTGAAAATATATTAAGTGAGTTAAATATTTGAAACTCTAGTGAATAATCTTCATAAACTGATTCTTGCCTGAACTAAATAATGCCTCTTTCTTTTATTTCGCAGAAATGGGCACTTTTTTTTTTTTTTTGTCTTTTTCCGTGTCCGGCAGCGGATCGCAACCCTCAGTGTCGCCCCCGCGCCTCGCTCAGCCAGTGAGCGGGAACCGGTCTGTATGTGGGATCCGAACCCTCGGCGGGGGCGCCCCCCCCCCCCCCCACCCCCCCCCCCGCCCCCCCCCCCCCCCCCCCCCCCCCCCCCCCCCCCCCCCCCCCC